ACTGTAGAAAATAAATGTTTGTACTCAGCTCACGGTATTTTGTTGTAATAGCCCCAAAAGGCTAAGCCAAAGGAAAAGGAGATGTGGTAAAAATTAAGGATTAACACCACTGAGAATGGCCTTTATCAAAAAACCCAAAACAACAGATGCTGGCATAGATACGGAGAGAACACTTACATACTTGCTAGTGGGATGGCGAACTAGTACAACTGTGAAAAGTTGTATAGATATACTCAAAGAATTTAAAGTAGATCGGGCGGCGCCTGCGGCTCAAAGGAGTAGAGCGCCAGCCCCATTTGCCGGAGGTGGTGGGTTCAAACCCAGCCCCGGACAAAAAAACTGCAAAAAAAAAGAGAGACTTTAAAGTTAACCTACCATTTGATCCAGCAATACCACCACTGAGTACTCACCCTAAGGGAAAAAAGTCACTTTATCAAAAAGAATGTTTAGGACGGCCCTTGTGGCTCAAAGGAATAGGGCACCGGCCCCATATATCATAGGTGCAAAATGTTTATTGCAGCACAATTCACAACCGTAAAGCTGTGGAACCAACCCAAGTGCCCATTAATACATGAATTTAGTTAGAGAGAGAAAGAGCACGAGCCGAATCCTAACCACTAGACCACCAGGGAAGGTATTACCTGAGTTTAGAAAAAGAGTAAACTAATACCTTTTGCAACAATGTGAATGGAACTGGAGACTATTCTTCTAAGTGACGTTTCCCAAGAATGGAAAAACAAACACTGCATGTACTCACTATTAAATTGGAACTAACTGATCCACACCCATGTCCATCTTTGGTAGTAAAACTCAATGGAAAGCAAGACGGTGGGAGAGGGCAGGAAGGGGTAAATTCATATACCTAATAGGTATAATGCATACTATACAGGGGAGGGGCACGCTGACTCAAATGGTACAAAAGCATTTCATGTAACCAAAGTATAATAATATAAAATAAAAATAAACGAAAATAAAAGTGCATTAGTGGATGGGTATTAAAAAAAAGATATGAGACTAATAAAAAATATAGATAAAGTAGAAATAAACTAGGTTACTTATCATTTTAAGTACTGCACTTCTGCTCTGATCTTACAAGGAAGCAGATGAAATAATTTAACAAATATTATATTTATAACAAAACGGGAATTTCTTACTGAATTAGTAAATAAAAGATTTAATAAATGAACATATGGGCTGGGCGCCTGTGGCTCAAATGGCTTAAGGGGCCAGCCACATACACCTAAGGTGGCGGGTTC